ACAGGACCAGCGGCATAACTGTTGTCATGGCAACGGCACGACGGGTGTCATTTTGTTTCTTTTGTGATATACATTTCTGGTGCCAAGTTTAAAGAACAGTGCTTTAATATTTCTAGGGATATTCTTGATTGAGTGTTGAACTGTTTCAGTGGAACCACCTATGACGTCATCACTTATAATACAAAAACGTGAATATCTCTAAAACGAAAAAAGGTATTCCAAAAAGGAAAACGCCATTCTTCTTTACTTTGAAAAGCCTTTCAAATCAGCAGCAATTATTTTTTACTTCATAGGCTCTTTAACAATCATAAGGATTGATTCTCATAATATGTAAACACGTGAAACTCATTTCATACTTAGGCTCTGATTTCTTTAAAAAAGAATATTGAAACAGGCCTTTTTGTGATAGTTTATAGAAAAAATGAATTTTTCATTCATTGAATTTTATGAGATACAGTATCAGTGGCATAACTGCATTAAATACAATTAGGCTTCTGTTTTGTTTTCAGGAAACTACGAAGATGTTGTTCGTTACTTACAGATGGCCCGGAAGAAGTCCAGAGATTCATTTGTAGAAACGGAGCTTATCTTTGCCTTTGCTAAAACAAATCGTCTTGCTGAACTCGAAGAATTTATTTCCGGACCAAACCATGCTCAAATTCAACAGGTTAGTGATATTTATTCCTACCACAACAAACTTTTACTTCCAAGCTTGCTTTCAGATTGCAGTGAACATCAGTCGCTGTTCAAAGGTGTTATTCAATATGTGTTAAAGCAATCAGAGGCTAGCCCTTTCTATGTGAACATTGTAAAGCGTTTTCCTTTTTTGTTGTAGGTTGGCGACCGATGTTTTGACGAAAAAATGTACGACGCTGCCAAACTTCTGTATAATAACGTGTCAAACTTTGCGAAACTAGCTTCAACTTTAGTTCACTTAGGAGAATACCAGGCGGCAGTGGACGGTGCTAGGAAAGCTAACAGTACCAAGACATGGAAGGAGGTGAATAAAACACAGCCTGCATCTTTCTGAACGCTTCTTTTTACCTTGTAAAACCAGGCTAGGTTCTCATTTACTCGAATTCAATTACACAGATGATCAAAATAGTCACATCAAGTCATATCAAGTAAATGGTAAATTTTCGTGGTAGGCTTACTTTTGCCACAGTCAAAGTATTCTTGGAGTCTGTGTAGCCTTATCCCACTTAACCTGTTTTTCATTGGTACTTTTTTACCTTCAGGTTTGTTTTGCATGTGTCGAAGGAGAAGAATTCCGTTTGGCCCAAATGTGCGGACTTCATATCGTGGTCCATGCAGACGAATTAGAAGAGTTAATCAATTTCTACCAGAATCAAGGCTACTTTGAAGAACTCATATCGCTGATGGAGGCCGCGCTGGGCCTTGAGCGAGCTCACATGGGCATGTTCACTGAGTTAGCGATCTTGTATTCTAAATACAAGCCTTCTAAGATGAGGGAACATCTGGAACTCTTCTGGTCTAGGGTTAACATTCCAAAGGTAAGTGCAGTGCTGGTTTTATTACTGTGTTGTACTGTTTGGTTTTGTCTTGTATCTGCAGCCAATGACATAAGCCTTTCCTGTCTTATCCTTTATCTCGGCTTGAAATGTACCCCTTGATTATTCTGTTTCTCGTTGTGATGAAATGGCAAACTGGTCTGATTCTGGACATTCTGATCAGTTCCCAGAGCGGTCCGAATGTAGCCGAGATAGACTGCTCACGAATAACTTTTGGAAAATTGCGTTTTCAAAACATTTCAGAAAAGAAAAGTTAAGAAGAAATATTTTTTCTTTAATGTGCGGGGGACAGTTTTAGTAACTTGCACGGAATCAGCCTGGAAAACGACAACAAGCTCTTAATGTGTTTACTGATAATGGTTCGCGGTACACATTTATTTATCTGCCTCTTTAATTGATAGAAAAAAGAAATTGAACAATGCAGACCGCACGTTAGGTCAGTAACATATATTTACCTTCGAATTTCTCGCTTAATTTTAATTCGTAATTATTATCAGGATTTTGGACTGAGGCAAGCTTTATATCGGCTACGGTGTTTTATTTTTTGTTTCTTTGATTATCAGGTTCTTCGCGCAGCAGAACAAGCTCACTTGTGGTCAGAGCTGGTGTTTCTGTACGAGAAATACGAGGAGTATGACAATGCTGTACAAACGATGATGACTCACCCTACAGTGGCATGGAAAGAGGCGCTGTTCAAAGACGTCATCTGCAAAGTGGCTAATATTGAACTGTACTATAAATCACTGCAGTTCTACTTGGATTTCAGGCCAATGTTGATCAATGATCTCCTTATGGTTCTCACTCCTCGCATGGACCACACTCGCGCTGTTAATTTCTTCAAAAAGGTATGTGAACTGTCAGGCACGTTTCAATAGAAGCTGTATTTTACATTGACACAAACAACGTGAGTTTGTGCTGATGTACCACCAAATTTTCAAACTACTATTTTCCCAAGTGACAGTGCTTTGCTTAGTTTCATTGCTTGTTATTTTCAGGTGAACCATCTGCCACTTGTGAAGCCGTATCTACGATCGGTTCAAAGTCACAACAACAAGGCCATAAATGAAGCTTTGAATGATTTGCTTATTGAGGAGGAAGACTACAATGGCCTCCGTGCGTCTATTGACGCTTTTGATAATTTTGACAACATTGCGCTGGCCCAGCGGCTGGAAAAGCACGAGCTCATCGAGTTCCGCCGTATAGCGGCTTATCTTTACAAAGGCAACAACCGCTGGCAACAGTCTGTGGAGCTCTGTAAAAGGGACAAACTTTTCAAGGTGTGCTATTTTGAAAATCCTTTCTCTTTTTGCGGGTGTGCGTGTGCGAGTTAGTAGAAACTACCAAGTGCTAATTGGTAACTCTCACGACCCTAAAGCCTTCGGTCACTTGCCACGTTAACTGATCCGAAGACTTCGAGACTAAACTCCCAAACTTGTGACTACATCGCCAGAAATCTGACTGCGTAGGTTTCACTGCGGATTCTGCACGTTTAAAAGAAAAGGAAAGTAGTGACCCTTGTTAAATAAATGCCCAAGAGCTTTTGCTAAATCCTGGAGAGACCGGGACCTCCGCTTAAAATTTGGACCAAAAGCGGTGTGACAACCCCATACTTTATAATGCATAAATCCCGTTCCTTGTTTCCAAAAAAAAAAAAAAACCACTATATACGTCGTCCAAACAATGAACTACCTTTGAGATGAATATGCATTTTTTAACATGCACAAGGGCTGTTGTTTTCTGTGAGAAAGATCTGGATATGGATGTGTTTTGGTTGTTGCAGCAGACACTAATCACACTACACTATTTTCCCAGATTCTTGCTGTCAGTCATGCAGTAAAGAGAATAGCTTTGTTAATCAATGAAGTTACTACGTTGACTGATAACTAATCCACGTCATTATCTTACAGGACGCCATGTTATACGCGGCCGAGTCGCGTAACTGTGCTACAGCAGAAGATCTTATCCACTGGTTCCTGGAAATAGGCAACAATGAGTGCTTTGCCGCCTGCCTGTTCATGTGCTATGATCTGCTCAGCCCTGATGTGGTGCTAGAGCTTGCATGGAGACACAATCTTCTCGATTTTGCCATGCCCTATATGGTACAGGTCCTCAAGGAGTACATAGACAAGGTACTGTCTTAAGTCATGTTAATCTACAGTTCACCGAGTAGATAACAAAAACCCAATGAACTCTAGAGTCCTAATCAAGGACGTCCGGTATTACTTTCCTAATTTTCTCAGCGTCCCTTTTAATAAACAAGCTTAACTCATAACCAAACGGGGTTTTTTTTTCATTTGGACGCGTTACATTTTCTTTACATTGAAGTTATTCATAACTTATATTGACAAGACATGTTTCGAATGAAACATTATCCATCGTCAGTTTTACACGAATACGAATTGAAAATGAGTTATAAATAGCTAAACAGTGTGATAAAAATGAGAATAATTGAGGATTGAGGCGCGAAACAGAAAAAAGCGAAAATATATCACTAAAAAAAACACAAACTAATTAGTATGAAAGGGATAAATTAAGATGTTTAACTTGGGAATTTAAAGGAGGTTGTTCCCAAAGGATGTGCATGGCTTCCTTGATTTTTGTCCAATAAGATGGTAAAATCTTGAGTCAGTTTGAGGACGTGATGTCACGTGACAGAGCTTTTGGAGCACGAGTAGTCTGAGAGGTTGTCTGGGTATTAGTATTTCGCATGATTGTTTTCGAGTAATGGCGGCCATTGCTACATTTGTAGTGCGTAGTCGTTGCAAGCTCTAGTCAGTTTGTCAGCAAATTTAAGACTATTTGGTATGCAACAAAGGTGGTTGTATACGGGATTTTACGGTGTATGGGAATGCTTGTCTGAGTCGATATGTTCGTGGATGCGGGAGGCGAAGTGTCTGTTGTTTTCACTAAGAAGTAGCTATTCCAAACAGTTTGCGCCTCCGAGATTCTGTTGCTATCCTTCCGATTCAATACCGTAAAAAAGTCTATTTCGCTCTCCAAAAATTATGGTGACAAGCAGCAGAAGAGGACTTCTTATAAAGACTCGTAACAGACTTGCATTTATCTCCAGGATGTGAGGAAAGCACATTACTAACCCTTATTCAAGTTTGTTAAACTATTGTCGTGTATTTTTAAGTCTGTTTATCTACACTAGACAGCTTGATTAAGACACAAAGCTTTGTTCTCATCAGGTCAACAAACTAGCTGTCTCTGAAGCAGAGCGGAAAGATCAAGAAGAGAGCAAGCAAGACCAACCAATTGTGTTCGGTACGGAACTAAATAGTGTAGCTTTTTTCCTTACGCTTGATGTACTCTGGCTTACTCGTACTCTAGGTATTGGACAATTGAGTCTTACGCGGGGAGACATCATTGAAAAGTGATAAATGTCATTTGGATTTGATAAGACTCTGCAGCCAAGTCCCGCTACTTGAAGGACTAATGACGTCAATCTGTAACGGGTTTGGCTACAGTCTGAGCAAAAGCGTGACTAATTTCCGTTTTTTTCAGGTGCTGACCAGTTGATGATAACAGCAGGACCAAGCATGGTACCTAACATACCTGTGGTACCAGGCATGCCACCAGCCCAACAGTACCCCCCAGGGTATCAGATGCCCCCGGGCTACATGTGACAAGACTAAATAAACAATTAGTATCAAACAAAAATAGCTAGGCCCTATATTTCTAAGGCATTTTTTATATTCTCGTCGGCCAATTGCTTGCAGTAAGTAACTTAAAATTTCGAATTCATGTAAGACTGAGAAGGAACCATCCAGTAGTCGTATAAAACAGTTAATTGTAGAATTAGTAAATGGTGCAATGATTGCCTGTATGCTTTTACTTGACTTCTAAGAAGAGTTTTTGGGTTTGATTTCACTCTGTGTATATCAAACTTACGTATGTGTGTATGGGTAATAAAGGCCATTCATATCACTGCGACGTTTTCACTTATTTGAGGTAAAGATATCACCGAGAAGGAGCTGTTTATGCCTCGTATCCACGTGACTTTGGTCACGTGGACACGAGGGTATAGTGTGAATTTCTGTGTGAGATATTCTTGTGTAACCATTCTTTGCGTTCCTAATAAGACTCCTGTGAAGGGTGTTTTTGTTTATTTTATTTAGGATGTCGGAGATTCTTTGCCAGTTATTTTTGCATGAATGAAAGTTAAGAGACGCTGTGCAAAGTGAGTTCTCAAAAACACTAAATTGAACCTTAACATTTGAGAAATTTGTACATCACAATGAGCCGATTAAAAACTTGGATACAATGTGCAGTACTCGAGAATAAGCAAACGGGCCAAAAAATTAATTTTCAATGACGGTCTGATCTGACCAGATCTAGTCAAATCGAATTGTTTCGTTGTCAGGTAGTGTTGCATGAATGAATATTAATTCATTTAACCAAATAGATGCTGAGCAAACTAAGTTCTGAAAAAACTGAATGGAACTCTAACGTTTGAGAAATTTGCACATCATATTGAGCCGATTAAAAACGTGCATACAATGTGCACTATCTTAGAATGGGCAAACAAATGAACAAACAAAATGAATTTTCAACAAGGGTCAGATCGTGTGAAATCGAATTGTTTCGCTTTTCGCAAATATATTGGAAGTGAAAATATGCTGAAGTTTATTTTAATTAGGATGTGGAGAATCTGTTATTAATTCATATTATTATATGGCTGTGTCTCACAAAGACTGGGAACTACCGAATTTGCGAATTTGATTGGCTGAAATCAATGTTGAAAGCGGTCTAGATTTTCCCATCTAGACCGGCATCTAGACCGGTTACATTTTTCGGAGAAAAAGTTGCCAACTAAAATGCAAAACTAATTACTAAAGTGGGGTTGAGCGAAGCAATTTCCCGGCAAGACGCTTTTGTAAGTGTAACTAGGTTGCGTGTTATGGTAGGAAATTTGTTGGTAGACGAGAATGGGGAAAGTGTAGTTGAAATGTTGAATTTGAAGTCACAAGGGTGGAATATTTTTTATTTAACTACAGTCGAACCTCCAGTTGCGACCACCTCTCGTAAGCGACCAGTTTTCCAAAATACCAGAAGTTTCCAGGTCAAATCACTATATTTGGAACCTCTTGTAGGCGACCACTTCTCGTAAGCGACCGCGACCACTTTTAGAGCTAAAAGTTTGAAATTTCCTTTAGTTTTTAACCTCCCATAAGCGACCACTTCACAGATAATAGAGCGGAAATTACATAATAAGGTGTTGTAACATCGTATTGCTGGGTAGTACAAGAGACGGAATTGTTCCAATGGGAAACCAGATTTTTTTTCGAAATTAACTTTTTACATGAATAAAATGTTAAATCATGGGGTAAGTGTCTCTGCTGTCATAATATACCAATGAGGCAAAAGTTTGATCCACTATGGTCTAAGCTCTCGTAAGCGACCACCTAGGCTTGACATTTCGGGTGGTCGTTTACGGGAGGTGCGACTGTATATTAGACAATGAAAATTCAGCAGATGTCAAATTCAAAATATCAACGAAAATCTTTGGAAATGGAAGGTTATCTATGTTCATCTGTTAGTTTGAGCCAGTAATGTTGCATGTAAATGAGGTGTTACGCCGCAAAATGTAACAACTAACGCAAAATGCAACAACCTTTTCGATGGATTATTAGGGCCTGTTCGCACTACGCGAAATTTTGTTTGATTTACCAAAAAATCTGTCAACACGCCGCCATTTCTAGTGCGAACGATTTTTTGAACCCACCAAAATTTTTGCAAGCGCAACGAAACTTCAAAGATTCCGTCGACTAGCTTTGGAGGCTGTAAAAATTTTGTCAGGCGAGAAAATCCTTTGTTCCTTGACATCCATCCGTCATTGGGTCATCAAATTTCGCAACATATGGATTACGAAGCGAACGTGACCGTATGACTTCCCGCCATTTTAATTGAGCTAGATAGATCCGCACAGAAGCAACATCGATCCATGGTACTTCAATTATTATGGCTCGCAATGCTACCAAGATCAAGATCTGGGTAATCAAAGTTATTACGATTCCCAAATCGCTACGCATCAGCAGTACTTCTTACAGTTTCCATCGCAGCAAACTCGAGCGGATTCACAATGTATCCACATCCGCTGAACACAGCATCCACATTCGTAACATCCACTGAAGACTGCTGCAGCTACTGGAAGCGCAGAAAACACGAAAAAGGGAACAAAGAGAAAAAACGCGAAGTATGAAACCTTCCCCTTTAAGACATGTCACGACATCTTGATGGTAAATTGATCAAATTACTAACTGACATCCGTCACTAAAAAAAATTCGCATCTTCATGTGCGAACAGGGTTACGAAAACAAAAAATTGGTGATTACAAAATTTTCACTTTTTTTGCAAACGCCAAACTCGAATTTTCGTCTTAGTGCGAACAGGGCCTTACTAATAGAGCTTAAGTTACATTTCTGTTCACCGAGTGCGGGTGGTTAAACTTGGTCAAAACACGCCTGCGTAGCAGGCGTTTCCAAAAATGCACGCGAAGGGAACGAAACTGCGAGCGAATGCGAAAAATAAGGAGCAGCGGGCTTGCAGCTTTCAAAAGGTGATTGGGGGGCTCGTAGTTAGAGGTGAAAAATTCGACAATTCGCTTTATTTCAAAATTCTTGGTGTAATGTGATACCCAGCTCTATAAGATTTAGTTTGATATAGGGGTTTTTGTATCTAAAGTTTAAACCGGACTCGCTACGTCGCTTGATATACACCTCTTAAGGTCATGTGATTAGTAGGTTTTTATTTTTTTTTTGACGTTGCAGAAGTGAACCTGAGGTTAACAACAATTACTCACGTTAGGGGGTACTTTCAAACAGGCTGAAATTTCATTCCGTTAAGGGGTGGGGGGCGGGGGATTGAAATGTTGTGCAGTTACATTATTAATCATAACAATTACAATTTCGTCAAATGTGATTGGTGCATAAACTGCTGTATTTTGCTCTAATTAATCTGCAAAGTTGTAATCGGACAGTGTAATCGGACAGTTGGCTGTAATCGGACACCTGTAATCGGACAGTTACATGAGCCAATCATTTTACGTCCTCTCCACTAAATCTACCAATCACAACATTGATCACAATCACTATAGTAACCACTGACTGAGACTGACTTTGTAAAATTGTGGAGGTTTAGTCTCTGATGACTGTTTTAAAAGAGACTTAACAGCCATTTTGCGAGCTGTTCTCCATATTTTATAATTATGATATTTAAAATGACAATAAAAAGCTCTTTATCAAATGAAACTTTTACTTT